CTGAATTTTTGAAGACCAAAGTCTGCCACTGGTGGCCGCCTGATGTCTACAGGACCACAGGCTCAGACACAGTGGGCCCTGCCACTGCATGCGAATCCTGGCAACTGCCTGTGTGTGCCTGGTGCTGATGCCAAGCCTGCTCATCAGTGTCCCTTTGGATTTGGGCAAAGAAAGGTACAGTGGTACCTTGGATTAAGTACTTAATACGTTCCGGAGGTCTGTTCTTAACCTGAAACTGTTCTTAACCTGAAGCACCACTTTAGCTAATGGGGCCTCCTGCTGCTGCCGCGCCGCCGGAGCACGATTTCTGTTCTCATCCTGAAGCAAAGTTCTTAATCCGAGGTACTATTTCTGGGTTAGTGGAGTCTGTAACCTGAAGCGTCTGTAACCTGAAGTGTATGTAACCCGAGGTACCACTGTTTATAGCACTGTACAGAGAATCGTAATATAGGGCTACTTGTCTTTAATCAAACAGGAGGGCACCAGGCTTGGTTATATTCAGTAGAGAAGGAAGTGTACTCTGCATATATATTAGAGGCACTTTGCTGTTTGCAGAGATTCAAGTCATGCTAATGCAAGCAAGGGATTTTGCAGCCGTGATTGCTGAAGGGCTGGAGGTCCAAACATACAGTATGCACAGATCCAATAAAGATACACAGGTGAGCTGAAGTGGCAAATAATGTAGGATGCACACATGCGCCTCCACCAGCGCCACACCACCTCCAGGATTCAACAGCCTGCTCCCAGCTATTTCCTGTACTTGAACTTGGCACTTGCAAAAGGTTATGCTCTGCACACTCTTCTTTATTATTGGGTGGTTGGGCAAGATTAAAATGTTCTTCTAGTGCATGAAAAAAAATCTACACGGAGAGCTGAGTGAATAAACAGCGTTGGAGGTCTCAAATGTTTTGTAGTAATTCTAAAACTCCGTATGAATTGTCCCGCAGTGCGATAAGAGAGGCTACCCATGGCTCCCTCTGCTGTTCATAAACACTGTTCTTGCCTGTCCCAGGAGCAACATCAATAGCGCAAGGCATTTTCTCCTATGAACTGTGTTCTTGATGTTCCCAGTCTCTGCTGGATCGAAGAACAAATGTGCAAGCCAAACTGTGATACCCTGCGATGGCAGCTGTGTTCAGACAGAGGGCTTGGGATGTTATTAAATCACTGGAAGTAGAAAAATGCCATGTGAAGGCTGAAATCCCCCCTCCTTGTATACCAGCATAGCAGGACAAAACCATACGTGATTGCTGCTTTTGTTCCATTACAATAACAGCCAGGCAGACTGTACCATTTCACCACTTCCAAGTATAAAAATTACTGGATCAGGCTGGATTTTAGGGTGGAATTTGAAATGTGCCAAATTCCATACTGAGAGCCATTCAGAACTTTCACATTACATGAAGATAGGTTTGTGATTTGGCTGCATTTGTTTTGTCCCAAAATTGCAATTTGCATTGGAAAGTAATAGCTCTGAATCCTATCCCTCTGATCCCCCCCACCCCCAGTTTAAGGTAAGAACAATAAGTGAACACATTTTAACACTAGAATTAAGCACATAGTACATCTTCAAAACATTTATTTATTGCTGCTTTGAATGTCAGTAATTGATAAGTGACCTTACTCTTTCTAAGTACTAAGTATTTAATTTCTTTATCTTTAGTTGTACATAATTCAATTTTATTTGTTTTTATAGTTGATGCTTCTTTATTGTTTTCTAATGCAATTCTTACAGAGGTCAAACAAATCCATACGTACCATATACCGTAGAGAGGGAGTCTTGTGTATTTGTTGTATCTGTAATAAAATCCCACCAGTGGGACTTATTTTAAAGTAAAAGGTTCAGGATTAGGCTGCTACATGCTGCAAACTTTCTCTGGATTGCACCTATTGTACAGCAACAGCATATTATCAAAACTGACATGACTGGGGTGCTTTGTGGTATTAAAGATTGGAACAATAATTTTTGTCTGGTAAATTGGCTTTGGATTGTGCAAAGTAATATCTACTGTATTATGAAAAGCTGCAAAATAACATATTATTAAAGCTGCATTCTAGCCTCCACTATCCCTTTTCTTTTTTCTCAGTTAGCACTTCTTTAAGAAATAAGGCAACATCTTTATTTTTTGTAATCATTCGGTTCATACATTGTTTCATGAATATCTTAACAGGTTCCTCAGTTTTCCATGCAAGGCTCCCAAGGATGTGACAAGAGCACAATTAAACTGCAATTAAGTCATTTTGCTTAACTTTTTGCCTGCTGTCTAGCAAATATCCTGGGGTCTAGTATTATTGCCCACAAGCATTAGCAAATTAGCCATATCCTTTCCCAGCAGGGATTGAGTCTGTTCCTTGAAGTCATCTTGCTTCTGCTTCTTTCGCTTGAATGAAAGTTTCTTCTTACAGCCAAATTGTTTAAGTGCTCTGGCGGCAAAAAGCCCCACTGAAGTTGGCAGTTACTGGCGGGCTTCTTATCAGATCACAGGAATGCATGATTCTTGGAACAAAATCAATGTGTGACACATTATTCTGACACCTAGTGACAGTCCTTTAAACATCTGAATTGCTCCAATTGCTGTCAAATTTATAAAATCGTCAATATTTAGATTCAGCTTTGGTATGATTGTTGCTGTGCCTCCATGTGGATGAAGACAGGAAGCTTATACCAAGTCCATCTATACCATTGCTCCATCTAGTTCAGTGTGGTTTTTGCTGCTGAACTACACTTTTAAGGTGTTTTAGACAGGGGTCTCTCACAGCCCTACCTGGAGACTGAACCTGTTAAGTTGTGGGTGAACATATCAGACGACAGCGATTCTTCAAACAGCTCTTTTTTATTCACAGGCCAGAACAGAACTGAACTGAAGGGTTCAGCCAGCCTGCTTATAGAGAGCTCCACTAGAATGCAACAGTAACCATTTTCTGTAACTATCCAATAACTGAAGGTCACTTTCAACCCCTTATTTGCATATGTGGACCTGAGTGAAAACTATCTACAGTAGATAGTGTATCTACAGTACATGCTGGCCCAGGGTGAGAACTTCAGTACATAACAGAACCAATACTTACCAGTGAGTGGATCATTCAAGATCATATGGGTCACAAGTGGCCACACACCAATCTACCCATGAACTCATTTTTTAAAGAGCTTTGTGTCAGGAGGAAATTTCACAGGTGTGCTTTCTTCCATGTCGCTGCTGTGCTAATAAAAGAAATAGCACCAGCTCTTTAAAGATAAATTGGGGAGGAGAAAGCAAGTTTCAAGTGCCTGCAGTTAGACTTGACTGTTTACAGTGGTTGGCTTAGTTTGTGTGAAATCCTTTGCGTGTTGACTTAAGTTTAAGCATATTGTTAGCCATCTTTGTGGGAGGACAGGCAGTTTTTTGGAGAACAAATGATAATGGAAATGGAAATATCCCAAAGAGGATACAGGATTCTGTTAGATCTTCTTCACCCTGTCCTGTCCTTCAGGCAGGTTAAAGTACTTTTGATTTATAATCATAAAATGGTGACCAAAGCAGCTTCATGTCTAAGTGGGGATCTGATGAAAATAGGGACCGTCCGTTCCATGACGATATTTATATCCCGTCCATCTGACTGCGTTGCCCCAGCCGCTCTGGACGGGTTTCCAACATAAACAAAAACAGGACAACACATGAAACATTAACAAATTTCCCTATTAGATGTCTTCTAAAGGTTGTATAGTTATTTATTTCCTTGGTGGTTGGTTTTTTTGGGGTGGGTGGGTGGGGGAGTTGCATAACTGAAATCGCCTCTGCCCAAAGAGTCAACGCAGATGTATTTACATATTGCACTTTGCAACACAGTATATGCGCCGCTTTCGGGCAGTGGAAGGGAAGTGGGCGCCACGTTAGCGGCCCAAGAGATGCGATAGTAGGAGCACATGGGAAATGATGCCTCCTGGGGCGAAGAAAGGAGGACAAGCCGCGGCTGCAGCGCCTAGTGGCTAACGCGCCTGTTTCCAAAGACACGGCGGCTGCCGATAGCCTAACCAGAGTCTGCAGAGTTCGGCCCTGAGCAACATCCCAGCACGCACTGCGAGAGAACGAACTACAACCCCCAGACTATCCTTCTACGACGTATTCAGACCCCTAAGGATCATGAAGCGCGGTGCATGCTGGGAACGGTAGTTCACGTTTAAAAGTGCAGACGCCTGACGGGTAGGCCTCCGTTCGCCCGAGCTCTGCGACAAGGTAAGGAAAGGCGGGAAGGCTCTCGTCCCCGGCATAGCCCAGTTTAGACACCGAGTAAATGACTTCACACGGTCGGGCAGGCCAGGGTTTTCCCCCCGCTGCCGCTTTCGGTAACCCTCGCTTCCAGGATTCCGCTGGATTTTGTTCGGTGCTGCTGCCCCCTCGCGGCGCGCTTGTGGCGTTAACCCGGCCTTTTTAATTGCTTTAGGCGCATGCGCTTCTGTTCGCTATAAAGGCGTGCAGAGGGCGTCGTCGTGTGGCGGATCCGCACTTTTGCCTCTAAGGGACAAGGCAGGAAAGTCGTTGCCGCTGCTTTGCGTGGCCGTTGGACGCTCCTTAACGCTTGGGGAGAAGGTTACCCCACTCCACCCCTCCAGGGGAAAACCTAGGGGGAGCGTTTTTCTATAAATTATTATTGTTGAAATTTATTAAATTTATATAATGTGGATATAAATGACTGTTAGCTGCAGCTTGCAATTTACTGTCCAATGCACAGCTGCCAGAGGAAGGCGGGGAACTGTAGCAACTTTACTGTCCTGCTCTGTTTTTCTGGTGACGGGGTGTGAGGAGAAGTTTCTTTTGGGGCGTCCATTTCACATCTTGTGTGAAGCTGTTTTAGGAGTTGGGAAAAGACTTGGTTCGTGGCTCTTATTTCCCATCGACTTAAGTGGGCCTTCCATTTCCTCCTCAAAATTGCGGTTATTTGCTGCTGGAGAAGGTCTTCTTACTCAAGACAGCCCCCATTGAAAAGTCGAGAACTTAAACTCTAAGGAAAGGTGCAGTCTTTCACAGGTCTGCTCAGAAGTAAATTCCCATTGTGTTTAATGGGGATTCATTCCACAGAAGTACATAGGACGGTAGGCTCAGCAACTCTCCCATACAACCTCTGCCCCTCGCCATTGGGAAAGAAACGCTGTTATTAACGCTTACCTGGGTTGAAGGGAAAGGGCAGTTTCCACATTTTGCAATAAGCAGCAAAACAATGCTTTTAAAGTAGGTTTTAACCGTGGCACCTGCTTCAGTGGAGACTTTCACTGTTTTATTACTTTTTCTCCCTTAAAATACATTAAATATGGTTTAATTTATTTTCATATTACCTGCTTGGCAAAAATAAAGCCATTGATTTAAAATTTTCTTCATAACTTTTTGACAGTGGTTAGAACCTGAATATTTGTGAAAGTGATAGCTATATATGTTTAGATAGACACACCTCCCTCTGCCCTTTCTAAATTATGCTGCTCTTTGTAGTGGCACCAAAGAATGTTAATTTATTTATGTAGTCCATAAAACTTTACACTGCTTGATTGTAATAAAAAAGCACAAAGATAAAACAAGAAAATTTTAAAAAATCACAATAGTATTTTAAAATATACAAAAGTTTATGTAGCTAGCGGTGATTTAGTAGACATGCCACATGGATTTGTATAACTTTGATTTAGCACCTACCTTCCCAGCCTCAAACTGATATGTGTTGTCTGATGTTTATGCTAACCCTTTTTTATTTCTCCAGACAATTTTTCATGTGACTGATATGTTTGGTTTAGAAACTTTGAAAAATTAAGTGAACAAAGAAGTTACTACGCAGCTGAAAATCAGATTTTACTCTAGCACAAAACACAGGCATAGTTGGGTGTTTATTCTCATTGATTTTTCATTTCCTATTTGTACAGGCACTTCACAAAAGAAATGCAAAAGGCTTAGAGTATCCAACAATGCCATAGAAATAGACTGTATCATACACATCTCAGGCAGCATTTATCACTTCAAAGCAATTGCACTTCATATCCATTTCAGGACTAGTGTATGGGTTGTGGTTACACTATGTTTGCACTAAGGGAGGCTATGTCAATATGGTTATAAAGTAGTCTCCTTTAAGTGGCTTGCTGATTTGAACTTTAAGCACTTTAAGAGTATGAGAGGAGTGCAGGGCAGTGTTAACCACACACCTGGCACTAGTTTTGTAATTATGTAAGCAAAAACGTTTTTGAGTGACACAGGCAGGTGGCATGAATGGAATGATTTGCTTCTGTGGCAAAGCTTGTCTGTCTTGCTAGCCTCTTATGCTTCCTTTAATACGTTGCTTGTACATAGGTGCACTGTGTGTGCGTGTGTGCGTGTGTGTGTGTATAGATAGATAGATAGAATATCATCTATCTGCTATATACATAAAGATCCTTAGGTCTGTCTGACAGATGTGTCAGAATCATTGAAGTATTTCCAGGACACCCAGAAATCTGAAATTGGGAAAAGATGCACACTAACACTTCTTAAATATTAATAAGGTATGAAAACAGGGTACTTTAATTTATCACTATCAAAATAGAATATGAAGTGTGATGGCAACACATTGCAAGCCAGGGTGCAAATGAAGCAGTATGTTGGGCCAGACTTAGGTAAGGTAATAATGGGTCAAGTCACATTTCTGTGGGTGTTCACCAGTCCCTGTTTTAATACTTCGAAGAAAAGGGTGACTTCGCTGGCAGCTGATAGTGCAAGAGTAATAGCCAGTTTGCCTTCCAGAAGATACAGACTCCAACAGGCTTTGGAATGTACAGCCCTCCAGATGTTAGACTGCAACTCAATGGTCAGTGGTTGGGGATGGTGGGAATTGTAGGCCACAACATCTGTAGGGTGTATAAATTTGGCCACCCCTGTGATAGTACTGGCTAAAAGATAATAAAAGCAATAATAAAAAATAATTGCAAACCCCCCTGTAGCATGTAAACATTCTGTACAATTTATGACCCTTCCATCTTTTCATGCCAGTATAATAAATGTAATGCCAACACACATTTTGTCCGTCTGTACTATCAATATTTTGTTAACTGTTCATTGAAGATGTCAAGGGTCTGTGCCATTTTTGGAGGATCTCGGGGAATTGGCCATGCTGTTGCACAACTGCTAGCACAGAAAGGATATTGCCTGGCTATTATTGCCAGAAATCTGGATAGAGCTCAAACTACTGCAAAGAACTTGGGAGGTATGTATACCTTAGTGTTTTTGCAAAATATGTTGAACTATTAAAGTAATACATGTGTGTTAAATAAAGTAGCATGATTATTTTACACTGAATTTGAATCTTGCAGATCTGATAGTACAACCCCTACATAATACAGTGGTACCTCGGGTTACATACACTTCAGGTTACGTACACTTCAGGTTACAGACTCCACTAATCCAGAAATAGTACCTCGGGTTAAGAACTTTGCTTCAGGATGAAAACAGAAATCGTGCTCCGGCGGCATGGCAGCAGCAGGAGGCCCCATTAGCTAAAGTGGTGCTTCAGGTTAAGAACAGTTTCAGGTTAAGAACGGACCTCTGGAACGAATTAAGTACTTAACCCAAGGTATCACTGTATAGTATAAGATAAGGGACTGGTTAATAGTAGATGAGTGACATGGGGAATTGTTGGTTCTTTGTAATGTAAAAATGTGTACTCTGTCAGTATCAGACTTCGTTTCCAATCATATAATTAGTATATTATTTTCTAGGATCCACATGCTAGCTAACAGCTCTCTGTCTGTATTTATGATACTTGCAGTCTCTGAATGTTTTGAGAAAGTTTGTATCTTATTGCGGACTTTGTGCCAACACAGCAGGTCATCTAGCATTTAGATGCGATGTTTCCAAAGAAGAAGACATCCAAAATGTGTTTAAAGAAATGGAGACAAGTTTAGGTCAAATAAACTATCTGGTTAATGCTGCAGGTATCAACAGGTTAGTTTCCAATTTAAGCTTCTATCAAAGGTACACTTTTGAAAATACCTAACATAAATAAATATACAGGTATAAAATAGTGTGGTTTATTTTGTTTTAGAGTTTAAAATCAAATATTTAATTTGTATCTAAAAGTATGCGGAACAAATTTCATTAGATTGATTTGATATTCTTTGATTTAAGGTAGTTGAATTAAAATATCATTATCCTAAAAGGACTGTTTCATTTGCTGCAGCCTTTATACTGATCAAAAGCTGATTTTGGATGGGCTCTTTATCTACCTTCATCTTGTTTAAACAATAGCATAATCAGTATTCTGGGTAAGCCTTTAGGGATTGTTATAATTGACTACAATTATAGGGTGACTTCTAGTGGGCAAAGGTGCATAGATAAAACATTCTGGAGTATCCCTACTAAGACAAAGGTTGTCAATTGAGATTATTAGTCTTTAATAAAACAACATAGGGTACTCAACTTCATAATGAACTCATTTAGTTTTGCACTTCAGTGTTTTTCTAGTTTAAAACAATATATTATTATTATTGGCAAAGTGGCTGAAATTGTTAATTTTTTCAGTGCATTGTTATTAATTATGCTTGACTATATTGGCCTGTTTCTTTCATGAGTCTAAACAATAGTATTTCTATTCTCCACTGTCATTTTTTTCATATTAGGGATGGCTTGTTGTTGCGAACCAAGGCTGATGATATGTTATCCCAGCTAAAGACCAATCTTTTGGGGACAATGTTGACATGCAAAGCTGCTGTGAAGGGTATGATTCAGCAGCAAGGTGGAGCTATTGTTAACGTAGGTGTGTCTGCCTAAGCAAATATGATTATTTTCAATTGATACTAACTTTTCAAGAATCAATGTATGGTATGTTACAAGTTCTCCTATATAAACACATGCAGTTGAAGTTTTTACCGAAATTAACCACAGCACTTTTGGGGTCATTGGGTTGAAGTCAAATGTGCCATTTGCCTGCTGCTTTTACACCTCAGCCAAAAGAATTGTGCAATCAGAGTGTAACAAAAGCCAAATGTATTCTGCTTGTGTAAGATGCTCATACAGTAAGCCTTTTTCTCATTTTATAGAACTGCATATTCACTCCCACTGTTCTCTCAAAAAGTGTTTTCCAGCTTCTCTGAGGCTGCAGTCCTACACACACACACACACACACACTCTACCTGGGAATATGTCCTGTTGAACTCAATGAGGCTTAATTCTGAGTAGATATTCATAGGATGACTTTGTAAAAAAATTAAAAGCTGCTTATGATGCAGTGGGATGTGGTGTCTGCAGTTAGGGAAAACAAGAGGGGAAATCTGTTCTACCTGCTTGCCTGCCAGACAACAGACCTCTCTGGAGTTGTGCCCATAAATGCAATTTGGAATTCATGGGTGCCCACTGGACATCCTAGATCAGGGATGTGGAATGCCTGGTCCTCCCTTGACCCAGTTCCTATAATCTAGTATGCTTGTGATATAGCTATATTTTATTCTTAGCTTTTTGTTGTAAGCATCTTTGGCAGTAGTGTAAAAGGTGCGTTACAAATAACATTAAATAAATAAGCAAATATTTTAAGGAGAAATTCTGTGATTTATATTTATGTCTGAAAGAATTATCCTCTTTTCTAGAACCAAAGAGCTCCATAGATAATGCCTAATGGCTTCACAACAGGCCTTGGGAAACATACTGGAAGTGACTGTGTTTTTTAAAATGTTGATGAAATGAAAAATTTCTGCATGTAGATTGTTTTAAAACACAGAGTAGCAGGACGAGTTAAAAGTAGGAGAAATATTTGAGCCACTCAGGGTTTGTTTTTTGTTTTTTTAAATGAATAGATTGACTTGATGCCAGGTTCATGTTATTTTTCATACAAGAAACAAATAAATATAAAACCGTGTGAGGTAATACAGGGAAATGTCAGGGTTAACTGACACCATCTTTCCTCTTTAACCACTTCCTAAATAGGTAATATTAATCACATTTGTTCTAGTTGTAGACTTTTGTGAGTTCTCTGACACCTGAGAGTACTGTACACTCACTGTCTGAGGGGACAGTGGGGCTTGCTGAGGTGTGGGAAGAAATCAACCAGCTTGTTATCTGCTACTACTTCTGACCTTCTCCCTTTGCCCTATTGCAAAGGTTTGGGTTCTCACTTGTATTTTCATATGGCTGGGGCTGTAACAGTATCTGTAATGCATTAAGTGCATGCTTGCTTTTCAGCATAAGGCCTTCATGTACATTAGGCAAAAAAGAGAAGGCTTTAAAAATATTTAATTAAAAGTTAAATATCAATACAGCTACTATTAAAAACGCTCAGTTCTGACTATAGTTTCTAAACTTTGGCTTTGCCTGTATTTCCCTTTGGTTTATTTTAGGAAGTATTGTTGGGCTGAAGGGCAATTCTGGTCAGAGCGTATACAGTGCCAGCAAAGCAGGATTAGTTGGATTTTCACGCTCTCTTGCTAAAGAAATAGCAAGAAAGAACATTCGAGTCAACATGGTTGCTCCAGGTTAGTTTTTAGTTCACCAACTGTCACTTGTGAATCAGTACGTAAGATCAGATGCTTTTAGGTCCTTATATACTGAATTTAATGCACAATATTGATATCAGTCCGATAATTGCATCAGTTACATACTTAACAGGTAAAGCAACGGTAAAGCAACCCTTCAGATGTTGTTGGACTCCAACAGGAGTTTTCCACCTGCCTTGCTCCACCCTCCAGCCCTTGGATCCCTAGGGGCCTTCAGAATGGTGCTGCTGCCACAGGCATCATGTGTGTGTGTCTTGTCATGAACTGGGTGGAAGACTGTGAGTCATAGGAATGGAGTATGTGTGTGTGTGTGTGAATCCAGCAGTGCTTAGTTTGCTTTTGATGGTTAAGTTGTTAATGTTGCTAGTATTGTTTTGTGGATTATGATTACTGCAATGCCTTGTGAGTTTTATAAAATGACTTCTCTTGTGGTTGTGCTGCTTAGCCGATTTTTTAAAGTTGCTTTGTTATTAGTGTTCTATAGACAGTGGTTGTTTTACTACTGATTTGTTAATTATTTTATACTGTTTATGTTGTGGTTGTGATGTTGTTATTTATGGTGTGTAAGCTGCTTTGTGACTCATGTGAGTGAAAAGCTGCGAAGAAATAATAGTAAGACATCTAGATAAAGGTAAAGGGACCCTTGACCATTGGGTCCAGTTGTGGCTGACTCGGGTTGCGGCGCTCATCTCGCTTTATTGGCCAAGGGAGCCAGCGTACAGCTTCCAGGTCATGTGGCCAGCATGACTAAGCTGCTTCTGGCGAACCAGAGCAGCGCACGGAAACACTGTTTACCTTCCCGCTGGAGTGGTACCTATTTATCTACTTGCACTTTGACGCGCTTTCGAACTGCTAGGTTGGCAGAAGCAGGGACCGAGCAATGGGAGCTCACCCCGTTGCGGGGATTCGAACCGCGACCTTCTGATCGGCAAGTCCTAGGCTCTGTGGTTTAACCCACAGCTCCACCTGCGTCCCTTAAAAACATCTAGATAGGCTTGCCTAAATAAGAATGTTTTTAGCAACTGCCAAAAAGAGTACAGTGAGGGTGCCTGCATGATATCGATAGGCAGGGAGTTCCAAAGTGTAGGTGCTGTTGCACTAAAATTTTGAGTTGAGTAACACTTGAGTGAGGATATATGGGGTATGACAATCTCATAGGTAAACTGGTGCCAAGCTGTTAAGAGATTTATATACTAACACCTTTAACTTGGCCCAGTAGCAAATCAGCAGTTGTGTTGTAGCGTTCTGGACTAACTGAAGTTTCCAGATCAGGTAACAGGGAAGCCCTTCATAGAGTGTGTTGCAGCAATCTAGTCATGAAGTAGCCAGTGCATGAGCTACTTTGGCCAGGCTTTTCTGGTCCAGGAGTGGCTGAAGCCGACAAACCAAGTGGAGTTGGTAAAAGGCATTTCAAGCCACTGAGGCTACCCGAGTCTCCAATTGCAGGGCTGGATCTAGAAGCACCCCTAAACTGTAAACCTGCTCTTCCAGGGGGAGTGTAACCACATCCAGGGTAGGCAATTGACCAGGTCCTTGGACATGGAAACTACTTACTCATAGTGCCTCCGTCTTGTCAGGTTTCAAGCTCATCTTGTTTTCCCTCATCCCAAGCAATAGCCCAGGGGCTGCACAGCCTCTCCTGATTCATGCTGATACAGTTTTCAAACTGTTTTGCTTTAGTAAAAACATTTCTAAAAAATTCCTAAAACATAACTGTGTGGTGACTGCACGACTGACCAGATGAATCATTATCTGCTTGGCAAAATACAAACAGCCTTAATACTTTTATGTATGTACACGTGCAGCAGGTGGAGTTCTTGCATTAACTTCTGTAGTTTACCTTGAACAACTCAGTTTGAGTATGTCCCTACTAACCACAGCAGGATTTCGTTTTGAATATTAACACCTTTTGACATCTCAGCAAGCCTCTAGCAGCACACTAAGTAAAGTCCCTAGATGTGAGAATTTAACCTCCAACCTCAACCCAAGGCATTTCAAATGCACTGTCTCTCTTCATTTTATTCAATTCTGATGTTCTGTGATTTTATCCTGCTAAGGCTATCTGTGTAGGAATTGCTTTGTACTTATTTTATAGTGCAGTGCACCTTTCCATAACTGAAATGTTTCTGTCAGCTTGCAGAGACTGTAGTGGAAAGCATGGGCTCTAGTAGCCTAAATATGGAACCTTACCTTCTCTTTCACTCCAAACCTTAACTTAATGCAAGTTGGAAACAGATCTTTGACTTGTTTTCTGCCTATCATTACATGTATAAGTTCATGTTGGAAACAGATCTTTGACTTGTTTTCTGCCTATCATTACATGTATAAGTTCATGTCTATAGTGGCCGAGCACGCAGTCATTTGAACACAGGATGTGCTTTTCACAGTAACGTAAATCCCTGGTTTGAATTAAGAGAACTCCCAAAGATTCTGTGGACTATGCAAGGCTGAGATTCTTACTGCAGCCATCCAAACTCCATGTGTGATAAGATAGGGAACAGAAGTGGCACCTGAACCAGGCCCTCTGTATTCTTTAGTTTAAATAAGTTTAAACTGGCTTGGCTCGCACAGCATTTTAAATCACAGTTAAACTTAAATATAGTTTAAAGGTGCATAGTGCTAAAACTGCAGGTACTTTGTTTCTCCCTCACTCTTGTTGCTGGTCTGTTGCCAAGAACTAAACCAGGGTTTGACTTACCATTACAGCTGAACCCAGGCTTGGGGGTTGCTTCCCTCCAAACAAACCACAAGCTGTATGAAGGCTTGCTGTCAGGTTACCGCCCATGGATGGTTTGGGGAAAACAAACCATAGGCCTAAGGTTTTGATGTAATGCTAAGCCAAACCATGGTTTAGCTCCTAGCAATGCAGTAGGAGTATGGGAGGAGTTAAGTGGCATGTACCAGCCTGCTTTAAACAATAGCTAAGTTGGTTGGATGTAGTTTTAGAGGTACACCTCATTGAAATAAGTAGTGGGACTTAATGTGAAACAAACATGGTTAGAATGGGGCTATATATATAAGAATTTGGATGTGTAAAATTTGTCACAGTTTCTGGGCTGATATTTCCAGTTTCAAGAAGTTTCAGATAAGTTTGAATACACAAATATTTATTTCTTCAAATGGTTTTTAGTTGTGCAACTATGCTTTGCATTTGGACAGACTTATGACTCTTGAGCTCAGGAAACTATATAGTTGTGATGATAGGAGTTTTATCAGGATTTGACTAGGTCTTATTTCATAAACATATTTTCTCTCTTCCCCCCCCCAAATGTTAGGCTTTATTCACACAGATATGACAACACAATTGAAAGAAGAGCAGTTGAAGAAAACTATTCCCCTTGGACGATTTGGGGAGCCTCAAGAAGTTGCCGAAGCTGTTGCATTTCTTCTGGAGTCTCCGTATGTAACAGGCCAAGTTCTAGTTATTGATGGAGGTTTGCAACTTTTGTTTTAAAAGCCATGAAAGCATAGTCAATAAGTGTGGGAAAACATATTCAGCAATTGAAAGTCCCAAGAAGTGGATTGAGGTGATACTTCTTTTGTTAGTATTTTAAATTAAAGTAGTATAAATTTGTAATTAGTCTGACAAACTTCAAATCATATGCTTACTTGTCTGTTTGCCTCAGGTAAATAAGCAAATTATGTGTGACACCAGATTTTTTTTTGGGGGGGGGTAGATGATTCAGGGTCCCATTTTTGTTTTTTGTGTATATATTGAAATTAAATGATCTGGTTTTTTTAAAAAACAAACAAACCAGTGCTACATGTTACCAAATATACTAATTGTGACATAGACCTTGCTTCATCAGATTTGTTCTTTCTGCATAGAAAGCTTAATGCAGCTCTCCTTCCAAAAGTTGGTCTATTTTTGGTTCATTCTGTAAGTAAAGTATGATCTTTTTCATAGTTTATGTTGGAAGACTTTGGTGTTCTACTTGGAGAGGCAAAGGAAACTGATGATAAACTGCTTAGGAATGTTGAATGCTTGCTTATATAGGGCACACTTCTTCACGCATATTTATTTTGTTTCTCCTATGAAGTGGTTGCTAACAAAGAATACAATATGCTGAACTTCATAACTTTAGGTTTCTTAAATAAAACCCTAATTTTCAAAGGTTTTTTCATTCATTCAAAGTACTTGAAATAGTGAAAAATTATTATTTAGACGTGACATTTTCTAGCCGTCTCCTACTTGAAGCATAAATATTTGTTTTTTCTGTCACTTGAGAAAGGGACATGTGTGTGTGTGTGTGTGTGTGTATATATATATATATATATATATATATATATAATCCATACATTAAAAGCTATCTAGTCTATATTCTTATTCTGGATGCTTTATGGCTCTTTGGCACCAATATACCTCTTTATCACAAACAAATATTTTGTGTCTACTACAGTATCTGGATAACAGAAATGTTCAACTGTATGCTATATTGTTACGTTCCACCCTTAACTCCGAGCATTGTGATATTCTGGGGGGTTGCAGGTGCGCTTTAATGCAGGGTTTGTTTTTCCTGTGGGACAATAAGGCACAGTGGAAACTAGTGTCTTTATGATATATGGTGTATTTGCACATGAAAAACCTGCAGCCTAGATGGAGGGGCTCACAGTATTAGCACCCCAAAAGGTCGTTGCTTCTTCCATAGTCTTGCACTCAAATGAACAGCAACCGTCATGTTTTGCCTCCTCATCCTCTAGCTTATGTCCTTCTAGCTCCTAACTTCCCTTCTATACTCTAAACCAGTGTTTCCCAACCGGTGTTCCGCGGCACACAAGTGTGCCGCGAGACGTTGCCTGGTGTGCCGTGGGAGGGAGGCGGGCGAGTCGGGCGGCGAGAGGCGAGAGGATCGGGCGCGGCGGAGGCCAGCCCCGCGCTTGGAGAGGACGCAGCAGCCGTCGCCAAACCGGATCCTCCTCCTCCTGCTCCGCCGCCGGCCGATCCTCTCGGCTCTCGGCCGGGAGGAGCCTGCGGCGACGGGGCGGGCGCTGAAGTTGGCGCGCCTCCTCGGCAGCGCCTTCGTCCTCCTCCTCCTGCCTCTGCTCTCCTCCGGCGGCGGGGGCGCGCCGCCGCCGGATCCGCGCGCAGCCTCTCACCTCTGCCCCTCGCCGCGCCAGCCCAGCCAGTCAGCCAGCCGAGGGCGGGCGCGCTCTCGCTCCTCGCTCGCTCTATCCGTGGCCGCGCCCGGCGCCAGCCCCGCGGGACGATGCTGCGACGGGCGGCCCTGTGTCGCGAGGGGCGGAGCCCAGGGGAAAGGACCGCCCAGCAGGCGCGGCTGAGGCGCGCATGCGTGGCTGGGGGGGTGCGCGCCCTCTGCTCTCTGCCTCTCTCCCCCTCCCCCCTCTGGACCCCGCGCGCGAGGCTCTCCGGGGGCGGGAAAAGGGTTTCCTTCAGGCGGAAGGTCCCGTGGGAGCTGGGAGGGGGGCAGCCGCTGCTCTGGCTCCCCCCCGCCCCGAACCGGCTCTTCCTTTCGGTTCTGGCGGGGAGCGCACTCTCCCCCCCCTTGCGCTCCGCTTTCCCCTCAGAAGAGCCCCCTGCTCCCCGTAATCGAGGGTGATCGTGCCCAGGGGCTCGCCAGACCCCCCTCCGGCCGTCTCTTAGTCCCCACACGATCCCAGGAGCGCGACGTGGAAGTGTGTGGACACCTGCAAAGGTCAGGGATGCTTCTCAAACCGCCAAGAGGCAAAGCCAACGTCCCTCTCACCTGGCCCAGGAGTCCCAGATGCGCCAGTTCTCAACAACAAATGCATAGAACAGGGTGTGCAACCCAAGTGAATCACTATTTTAAGCCATTCCGGGGGGGGGGGGGGAGATGCAACCCATTCTTAAATCTTTCCTACTGAAAATGACCTAAAAGTGTTACATTTGGACGGATCGCCCCCATAACTAATGTTGCATCATCTCACTATTTGCAGCAAGCATATACATTCTTTTCCACGGTTAACTTTTGTATACCTCAGAGCACCAAAGTTTATTTCCTAATTGCTTACTGATCTGCTGGTGAAGCAAGTTTTCTCTTGACTCCCCTTTGAACCATCAACATATCCTTTCATTACCTTCTATGCTGTTACTATTTTTTATATTTTTTTTACATAAGTAAAAAGTGACCTTTCCCCATCTGGCATGGTGGTGTGCCTCGAGATTTTTTTCATGAAACAAGTGTGCCTTTGCCCAAAAAAGGTCGGGAAACACTGCTCTAAACTCTCCTAAAACACTGGCCTTGTCTTTTAAGCTAACTCAGTTGAGAGAGGGAGGAAACCCACACATGCAAATGTAATTAGCCTTTCCATCCTTTGTGTTGTTTAAATGGTTCATCCCTAGGCTAACGCCTCAGAAGGAAATTACCTGTAATAATTAGCTTTTACACTTGGCTTAATTAAAGGATTAAAGGTCTGGCATACACCTTAAATGCACACTTGAGTCTAGCTATCATGTCCTAGGAAATCAGCTTTGACACCCCAAACCTTAATTAAATTCTAGTGCTAATTTGATCCAGAATTTAGGTGGTCCTGCATCCCAGATTCATGAAAGTACATGAATTTTCCTACTATTTTTTTATTTGCACAATTATCTAGCTTAAAAATGTGAAATCTTATTAGTGGTGGCTAAGTTGCCAGTTTTTTTTTTTTTTTTACAAAACAGCTTTTCAGATTTATTTTACAAAAGTTACAATATGCAAAATCATAAGAAACTTTCTTATAACATAAAAATATCTGTAATATTAAAAATTTTTTATATATATATGATGTACTCATCAGAACTCAGACACATGGAAAAACCCAATGAGAACTTTTAATAGGAAAAATACTTATTTCTGTGTTAAATTATTTAGTTATAATGCCTGCAAACCAGGAAGGGATAATATTAAGGGCTGTTTCCCCTTCTTATTGTTCAAATCCATTAAAACCTTTCCCCCTTGCATAGAATCCAAGAAATCATGCTTAATATTGTAAAATCCCAAAATTTAATGTATCTGTGCCAACAAAGGCTGTTGCGAGTAGGAGTTCAACAACTGGAGAGCGCCATGTTGGCTATCTCTTCTCTAAACTTCTCTATTCCAAAAGAATTTGGATAGTTGCACTTGTTGATATTTAACCATATTTCTAAATGTCATCAGAAGTAGATTCTCTAGTCATTACTTCTCATTCCTGGATTAACTGATTTGGCTTGTTGTTATCAGTTGCTTTATACAATAAAAGTCTCAAAATGATTTGACAGAATAAAATAGAGCACATTAAAACAGTATGAAACCAGAAAAATGGGGGGCAGGGAAATGACAATACAAAATGTATAAAATGCTCATTCAGCAACATATTAATAAGGACAAAGTCCTAACTGCTCCACTAAAAGATGAGGACCACTATAGAAAGCAGCATTAAGTAACCAGGGTAAACAGCAAGGTCTTAGCCTGAAAAGATTGTGCCAGACAACTACCCCTTGTGAGAGCATTGCACAGACTGGGTGAAATCACTGAACAGGCCCATTCCTGTGTGGCCACTTTCCACATCTCCCTCAGGAACACACAGAAGGGTCTCTGATGAAGACTGCTGGGTCCAGTCCGGTCCTTGAAAATACTATAAATTACTTTGGTTCCTCCCAAATTACCGTATTTTTCACTCTATAAGACGCACCAGACCATAAGACACACCTAGTTTTTGGAGGAGGAAAACAAGAAAAAATATATTCTGAATCTCAGAAGCTAGAACAACAAGAGGGATTGCTGCGCAGTGAAAGCAGCGATCCCTCTTGCTGTTCTGGCTTCTGGGATAGCTGTGCAGCCTGCATTCACTCCATAAGACGCACACACATTTCCCCTTGCTTTTTAGGAGGGAAAAAGTGAGTCTTATAGAGCAAAAAATATGGTAGGCTTTCAGAGTCATTTAAACTGCATTTGTTCATTTCAGCTTACTAACCAATAGTTTAAAATGTCTTCTGTTTTAAAGTACTCAAATAATACTAATTTTGCATCTCCCAATCCATTCCTCATCTGTGTTAAATATGCAGTCTGATTATTCCGTATCCAAGCTGCCAAATTTAAATAGTTTGTGGGCTACCCCCCCCCCAAGCAAGCTGTCAGTTTAGGCCTGTGTCAGAGCTGCTCCTCGATCCTAGCTCACAGAGGATCACGCTAGCCAGCGTTCGCTTTATAAAAGTCTTTATTGATTTACAGTTTCCATTTCCAAGCTGCTGCGTGCAACTCTACGTCTTATGGCTAGACCGGCGAAGCTCCGTCTGAGTCTCCGCCCCTCGTACACCAACTTAATATCCTCGCCTTACTCCACCTTTTCCGCCTGACCGTCCTTCTCTGGGTCCCTCTGCCCCCCGTGGTCTCCTCCCTCCGGGACTCCTCTGACGCTGACCCCCCAGACCCTCCTGTCTCCTTGCGTCGGGCTTTAGGACCTGGCTCCCTTTCCGGGCTGCTTACTGCGCCGCCTTCCTGTGCATTTGAACTTGGCGCGCGCGCCCAACCTTCCACTTTCCGCTTGACCGTTTCTTCGCTCCCCGATGGGGGTGTGGTCACTCCTGACTCATGCCCTCCTCCCTGCTGCGAGCTGCCAGGGCTCGATCCCTGACGTCCTTCCTCTCCACTGCGCTCTGGTGGGGACGCTGGCCCCGATTTCCAACTGCTGCCCTCTGAACCCCCGCTGGTCCTTTCCTCCTGGGGTGTCCCCCTAGGCCCCCCCTTTGCTCTGGCCACTGGCGCTCCTTTCTGTGAATCTTCCGATTCACTGGAAAGACTCGGAGATCTCGGGTCGTCGTCATCACTCATCCTTTCTTCGGACTCCTCCCCCTCGCTCTCTGTTTCCTCCCTTGCCCTCGCCTCTGCTCCTGAACCCCTGACAGCCTGTAATTAAAATTGGCAGAAATATAAGCATAGAATAAAAATGTAAACAAATCTATTCAGGTCTTCTATATATCTTAAAATGTAGTCTGGAAGTACTATATAATTGATTTTCTTGTAGGATCAGCTCAGTAATCAAAGGTGGAAGCAAGTTTACTTTCATGTTTAGAAAAATGGCATATTTACTGACATCTGGAGTGAGCATACAAACAGATCTATTTTTCACCTCTTGAGGTCAGTATAATTTAAGGAATAATAGTTCATTAGGGTTAGTTAGGTAATAGTACAAAGAACTACATATATATTTATAGCCATTTAAGTTTGGCTTGTGTGCAGAGCTAATTTAATGCTTTTTTCGTTTTGTTAGAATTGCTACATTCTTAAAATACCAATTTTAAATAACAGGTTTATATTATTTGTGTACATAAATTCCCATTTATACATATTGTTCAGTTTCATAGTTGAAAATGAGTGTGCATGGCTTCTTATCTCTCTATAAACAGTTATTTCATGAAATTTATGTTTGGCTTATCTCTTTGCTTAATTATGGCCAGAGTGGGCAAAACATTGCAATTGTTGTTGTTTAGTCGTTTAGTCGTGTCCGACTCTTCGTGACCCCATGGACCAGAGCACGCCAGGCGCTTCTGTCTTCCACTGCCTCCCGCAGTCTGGTCAAACTCATGCTAGTAGCTTCGAGAACACTGTCCAACCATCTCGTCCTCTGTCGTCCCCTTCTCCTTGTGCCCTCCATCTTTCCCAACATCAGGGTGTTTTCCAGGGAGTCTTCTCTTCTCATGAGGTGGCCAAAGTATTGGAGCCTCAGCTTCACGATCTGTCCTTCCAATGAGCACTCAGGGCTGATTTCCTTAAGAATGGATGCGTTTGATCTTCTTGCATTCCATGGGACTCTCAAGAGTCTCCTCCAGCACTATAATTCAAAAGCATCAATTCTTCGGCGATCAGCCTTCTTTATGGTCCAGCTCTCACTTCCATACATCACTACTGGGAAAACCATAGCTTTAACTATACGGACCTTTGTTGGCAAGGTGATGTCTCTGCTTTTTAAGATGCTGTCTATGTTTGTCATTGCTTTTCTCCCAAGAAGCAGGCGTATTTTAATTTTGTGGCTGCTGTCACCATCTGCAGTGATCATGGAGCCCAAGAAAGTAAAATCTCTCACTGCCTCCATTTCTTCCCCTTCTATTTGCCAGGAGGTGATGGTACCAGTGGCCATGATCTTCGTTTTTTTGATGTTGAGCTTCAAATCATATTTTGCGCTCTCCTCTTTCACTCTCGACAGCAATAATCATTTGTATTTTACAAACAGTTCAATGCAAGGTAATTGTATCTAACAAAAGATGGCAATATTCAGAAACAAATAGAGAACTAGGTTACACTTTCACTGATCTTAAGGAAGCCATAAGTAAACCAGAAATTTCAGAGGGGGGCTGTAGCAGAATTAGAATTAATCAAGAAGGTAAACTGTTCATTTGGATCTGAATAGAGACCACCTTTTTCTTTCTCACTTCAGAAGTTAACCTGGCATTGCCAAGCTGCTATTACTACTATTATTGATTACTTGCTCTTCACCCAGGGCAAGTTGCAATATTAAAACACAATATTAAAAAGTTTAAAACCATTTATTGAATTATTGGAAATTGAATAACAATTGAATATGTCAAATAATACCTGAATTATTGCTATCTACACTTCCTGCATGTTATTTCCCACTGACTCCAAAACTTAGTTCTTCTGTCCTCCTTACAGTCATGTCTATTTATCTGAAACTGAGGATTACATTTCATGTATGTTATGAAGTAGTAGACTCTAGTCCATGAAAAATTGTGCCATAGTAAACAACTTTAGTTTTGGAAATGTCACCAGAATCTCTCTTGCTTATATATTGTTGAATCCAAGAGTACCTTGGTTGTGGAGAAAAGGCTTCACCTATGTTGGCAGTATCTTCTAAAACTCAGGATGGTTTGGCCTTCCAGTGGTTGTGGCAGGACAGCTACAGGCCATAGAACATCATTGTGTTTAGACATGGGCCACAAACACTAAAGGTGCCTTTTCTTTTCCATTATGCCATGCCGTGGTGCCATGATGTAGTTGTGCAAAAATGAAAATAAAATCTGCTGAAGTAAATAAGTGAATTTAAATGTAGTCAATAAGCTGATACTGAATGACAATTATAAATTGATATAATTATTAAAAAATGCTTAGAGATCCTACTAACTTTAACAGTATTTGGAATTTATCAAATTTAGAAAGCAGCTTTCCCACATTGAGTGTCGTGCTTCACATGCTCTTTAATTGTGCCAGACTGACTAGGCCCTTCAATATCTGACAGCTGAAAATAAATGTCTAATAAATACTTCTGTGAGCATTTGTTTAGCTGTCACAATAATATTGTTTCCAGGAAAATGAGTTATTTGTTCATGCTAAATCTTGCTTGAAATGTTTGCGCTCTGCTACTCCTACTGCTATAATAGTAAATACCTCCTTCCACTCTGAAAATTTACTAGATTGTCACTGCATCATCAGATGAATTGATGGACCCCGGCACATTTTAAAGGTTGATAAGTAGGCGTCTGTATAATAATTTGGGATAGATATATTTATGGAGTACTTTCTCCATGACTCAGCAGGGCAGAGATGAGTGTGAAATGCCATTACCTTTTCTATTTCTTTTTCCAGTTTTCTTCTACTTCGCCATCCCACATGTTTTCCTCTATTTGTACCACACAGGCTTTTCTGCATTTGTTAAACCATCATGCTCTCAATCTAATAGTGTGCTGAAGTATTTGTTTTTATAGCAACAGCTTTTTAAAAAGGCAAGCAAGGCTGTTATTTTATATTTGAGGCATGAGTTACCTCTGCTGTGATCATGAATGTATTGAGCGAATACATCTGTTTTCTTCTACTGTTTGACAAGCAAAATGTTCCTATAAATTATTGGTTAGCTCTTATGACACACCAGTAATAAAATTAACCACAAGGAGAAATCATTGTAAGGAGAAAACATTCCAATTCCCTCTGAAGTTACTCTGCTGTCAAAAGCTATCTCAGTTTTGCTTACAAAACCATATTCAAGCCTGAAGGAAGCACGATTCCTCTCATTTCACCTACATGGAGCAGGTAGGATGCATTTCATTTTTTTACTTACTCCCAGGGCTGTTGTGGGTGAATCAGTATAAAGTTTTATCAGTTCTTTTAAGCAACTAATTTTAAACTTGAATGCTGTTTTCTCCTAAACAACTTGCTTCTCTAGAGATGCAAACTGATGGTAGAAGAAATATGTGAGGTTTGCTCATTTAGAACTTGAGAACAAGTTCTAGCTTGTTCTTAATTCTTAATATTCAGCTACTTTATGTCGTTTAGGCTGATGTGTCAAGATACCTAATCTTTGAATTGGGTCTAATCTGTGCAGCTTCATCCTAAACTTGAGCTGTATCTGAAGAAGTGTGCATGCACACGAAAGCTCATACCAAGAACTAACTTAGTTGGTCTTTAAGGTGCTACTGGAAGGAATTTTTTTTGTTTTGAGCTGTAGTAGTTAGTACTTCAGCCTGTGAGTTGTATCCAGTAGTAGTTATGTGCTAGTGGAAGAACTTCCTTAAGGCAGGGCCCCTAAAGTTTGCTGATCCCTCCTATCCAAATCAGTGCAGCACCCTGTGCCTCCCTCCAAACGTCTCTGGAGCAACATGGAACATGCCAGAGAGCTGTGAGAGAGGTGAAATGGAGTGCCTCATCCTGTGCTGGTAGAAGTCCTTTCTCTTGCACAAAGCCACTATTGGGGGCGATTAGAGCAGGTCCAATAGAGGCATCCAAAGCCCTGCTTGTTTCATTTGTACCATATTAGTTTCAATTATTGCAGCCTAAGGATGTGGTCAAACCTGCTTGAAGAAGTGTAGCTATCTTTGCTGGCTATACTGTGGGCCTCAGAGGGTTAAGCTGGCCAGGGACTGGCTTCCTTTTTGTTTGAATTTATAATTTTATTCTAACAAGACTCCCACTCTGGTCCTGAGACAGGCTCTGCATGTGGGTGAAATGAAGACTGAAGGGTTTTTCACTGTATTTGTCAGCGGTGGCATAGTGTCTGCCTTGTTGGATCTCATGCATTGTTTGGGGTTTCCTCTCCTTTCGTAGGCCCCGGAACCAAGCAAGCCCCTTTCCTCCCAACATTCTACATGTTAGAGGCAGATGATCACAAACGCATCTTTCAGGTAAGAGCTCCCATTTGTCAATATGACTTACTTGCCATAATCCAGGCAATGGGGAAAGTGGCCCAGATGGCAGGAGAAGTTGATTTCAATGGGGTTGGCTTAAAAAATACACAATACTAGGCTGTACCTATGAAGTGGGATCCTAAGGATGTAAATCAGAAGCCTCTAGAGTTCAATGGGCTTTACTTCCCATAAGCATGTAGGAGTGTACCCAGTTTTATTTTTGATGTCTTAAGTCCATGACCCAGAAAAAAACAATTATTAACTTGTGTAATATTTATTGATGTTAAACCCACATGATATCAGCACAACAATCCAAAGTAGTATGATTGTACATTTTTTTTTATAAATACAAATAAAAAGAAGCAAAATGCTACTAGTGAAGCTAAACAAATATAGATTAGCGAGTCACATTTGAGAAAAGTTTGGTAAATGAATGATAGGACAGTTTTATATGACAGATTGTGTATGACAGTACAGATATGTAAGAAATGCTTATAACAAGCTGTAACCACTTGCAGCAGTTTGCATAGAAAAATAACTATTTTCCGTGCTAAAAGTTTATTAGCCGCTAAAAAAAACCTGGTTTGTGTACTTAACATGGGTGCAAAGCAATACATGTATAGCAGTAATGCAAAATATATGGTGTGGTACATAATACAAAACTTCTCTTAAAAAGTACTGCACTTGAATAACTGAGTTAAGAGTCAACATTTTTATTATAAATAAAGTACTATAAACGTGCTTTGATAAGGAATACAGTGTTTTCCTTTTGTAGCAAAGTACTCTTGTACCATCAAAACCACATCTTTTTTTCCTGCCAGACTCAATTGAACTCTTAAATTGATTTTGAATGTTAAATGGCTTAATGCCTAAGTGAAGTCCAGTTAGATGCAGAACTAGTCTACATTCTGGAAGTTTGACCATTTTTACTTTCTTCACGAAGTCTCAGTCTTAGGCAGGGCTATTATTCATTGCTGCAGTAAGCAATAACACAAAATTGTAACATCTAGTACACATGCATGCAGTGTTTAAAATATAACACCATTTTCTTTATCATCATTCTGCATTCCCTCCTATTTACGAATCTATTCTCTGTGGTGTGCTTATCATTCAAACTCTTGCAGACTCACTCCTTTCCCCACGTACTCTATACTCATCACTTTTGTCAGGGTGTTCTGGTCAAGCAAATCTCCAGTATGATGATGATGATTTAAAGCATTTGGGTAACCATGGAATTTCAAAGAGATGAAGTGCAATGTTTTCTCAAGACGCTTTCATTCTGAGAAACGTCCTACTGCCCCCGTCCTGTCCTGTCCCACCTGCAAATTTTAATACTGTAAAATAATCCCATCCCATAATGTCCAGATTTTAAGTTATCTTATGACTTAGTCTGGCAGTACAGTTTTAAGTCAGCCACTTCTTGCCAGAAAACAAAGCTTTCAGGTGTGAAGCTTGCTTGCCTATCCTAAGTTTCTTTAAGCAAGCAGCTTCCTTTCCCTTGAGAATAGAAAACCATTTACAGAGATACTAATTTCATTTAGATGTCTCTTTCTTTTCCCCTTCCATCAGTATATTGCACATTTTTTACTGCTGTTAATCAGAATGTGTTGCTGATACACTTGCTGCTGTGTTGTAGCTTTAAAAAATAACTAGCATTATTCATTATGAGTTATAGCACCTACAACTTGCAAAAGGCACTTGGTGATAAGTTCTGCAGTGTGCTTGCTTCTGAAAAATCTCATTCACTTCAGCATTTGGCATTTGTGAATAGGATTATTTAAAAACAGTGCTACCCCCATAGTAATGAAAGAGTTATGGTGAAGGTGATGTTCATGTGTAGGGGCTGTACATTTCCATTGAATAATCACTATTTTAAATTGTAACAACGAGCAAGAAATACATGATTAAGGTGTTCTTTATCTTTTGCACACAATGGTGTTTGCCTTTCACATAAAGTGGCATAAATTATCATTGGTCAAGACAATGGCTTTCAGTGTTTTCACTTTGAAAGGAAATGGTAGGCCTGATAGCCAAGATTTACAGATCATCACTTTCTACCAATCCAGATTGTAGTGTCAGGTGTCCAGGGTTTGCTTCTGGCTGAAACGCAGCTTTGATGTCTAGTCCTTGGTCAGAAAGTGCTGCATATCGACTAGCTGAGGGACGCACCTTCTTTGGTTTGGTGGTCTGGGGCTGTTGCTGCCACTGAGCTGCAGAAAGGGAAGGAGGAAACAGTTTGCTGCTGTAACAAGCACCACAAATGGAATTTTTTTTAGCCCTGGTTAAGAGGGCATTTCTCCAGCCACATATTACAGTGGTACCTCGGGTTACATACGCTTCGGGATACATACGCTTCAGGTTACAGACTCTGCTAACCCAGAAATAGTACCTCAGGTTAAGAACTTTGCTTCAGGATGAGAACAGAAATTGTGCTCCAGCGGCGTGGTAGCAGCCGGAGGCCCCATTAGCTAAAGTGGTGCTTCAGGTTAAGAACAGTTTCAGGTTAAGAACGGACCTCCAGAACGAATTAAGTATGTAACCCGAGGTACCACTGTATAGGAAATCTCCTTGACTCAGTATTTCTCCTTAGTCATAAACTAGAGTTTTGAGAACATTTAAGCCTGGATGGATTAGCCTGTAAAAGGAACCAGGAGGGCTTAAAACCCCAGAGAGCTACTGCCACTCAGTGTAGACCAGCCTTTATCAACCTGGTGCCTGGTGGATAGTTTTAGACTACAACTCCTATCAAACCCAGCCACCATGACCAATGATGATGGGAGCTGTAGTCAAAAACACTGGAGGGCAACTAGGTTGGAGAAGGCTACTGCAGACAATACTGAGCAAGATGGATCACTGGTTTCACCTAGTATAAGGCTGGTTCCTATGTTTCTAACCTTCCTATGTGCAAACATGGCTAGTAGCTCCACCAGCTGAAGCTTATAAACTTTAGAGAAATAATATGTAAAGGAGCATGCTTTCATCCATTTTCTGAAAACCACATGGCACACAAGGTACTCATCTCTGGCAACTCATCTTTTCCCCTCTTCCATTCTGTACCACTGGACCTTCTCTCTGATGAATTTCCTTCCTCTGCTTTCTTCCAGTTGCACAGATCTTGGTGAACTTGGCAACAGGATATGGGATTCACTCCAGGCAGTTCAGATACTAGATGCTTTCCCAACTGCGTGCAGCCAATCCTGACCGCACAGTGAGTGCATTGGTTTGATATGCCACTCATTAACACCTTACTTTGTTCTTCGGTTCACAACATGATTTTTTAAAATAACTTAGCTATGAGATAGTCTACAGATTATCTACAGGTAGTCAGTGAAGCATGTCTGGATGGTTGCCATTTTTAATTACAAATCCACAGATATGCCGGGGACTGGAAAAACATGCACACCTCTGAACCTAGGGAAAGTGGAAGCAATGCAGAGCATTCTTCCAACCCCACCTGCAAATTTTAATATACGTGTGGAATAGGCTGTTGGGAACATTTGTTTGGTATTTCCCACATGGGCTGCAAAACTAGAGAGCTCCTACATTGTATAGACCTAATTTAAAGTACAATAATCATGGTTTGTGGATTTCAATAGAGCAAGGATGAGGAACTTGTGGCCCTCCAGATGTTGGACTGCCCAAGCTGGCTGGGGCTGATGGAAGTCCAGCAACATCTGGAGGGCCACAGGTCCCCATCTATGACAGTGTATTGCTGTTCTACAGGGAGCAGCTAAACTTACTATAGACATCCAGCCTTGCTGTGCAGGACACAATCCCAGCCTCATTCTTTGCTGACACAGTGTACCAACCAGCATCTTCTTTTGTAGCTCCCTGAACTAGCAGGCAGATATAGCCATGGTTATCCTGGTGCATGCTGAAAGAGAAGTAAATAACAATAGTGGCATGGTTACATACATTTATTATTTTAAATGATAGTTTCTTCATTCAGATTTTGAATTGAAGAGGCTGGTTTTCAATTCCTTGAGCGGACCAATGCCAGGGATTAATTTCAGGATAAGCGTAAACCGAACCCATCCACCACTTTTTCAGGGTATCACTTTTGGCAATGTTGCTCCCTCCCATTGGGAAATGAAAATATAATAACCCAGGTGGGACATTTGGCTGGGGAAACTTAGCCAGATGGGCAGGGTACAAGTAATAAAATTATTATTCTTATTATTGGAGGGATGGGGAAACTGCAGCCCTCCAGATGTTGGACTACAAGTCCCATCATCCCTCTCACCATTGGCCATGCTGGCTGGGATTGATGGGAAATGAGTCCAGCAACTTCTGGAGGGCTCTGGTTTCCGGCACTTGATAAAACTAGCATCAGTGCAAGAAACCACTTGTCATCTTTTCCTCCCACTGTACTTTATTTATTATTGTGCTGTACCGCCTCACTGCTTCTACACATGTCCAACTCCTGCCCCACCATGTAAACCTAAAACATTCTGCAAGTCTGTTACATTGGAAGCAGGTTCCAGACATCAAGGTGAGGACTGGAGGTTTGCCACCCACTGTGTTCAATATTTATTACAGGTAGCTTTTAAGAATTCAGAAATAGCAGTTCTTTGTAAACCATTCCCAAGAAAATATATTTGTAATTCATTTATTTTCAGGGTTTTAAAAAATTATATAGCTGTAAGACCCAATGTAGATAACGATATGCTGATTATTCCTTAAGGAAGCATCTGGTAGGTACAGTCCTGCCAACACATGTTATCAATAAGAACAAAAAGAAAGCTTATAATTCAATTTCATCTTGTAAACTGTCAGTCTTCCTTATGCTGTGAACTGCAGAATCAGAGCCAGCTATACAGTACTATGTTTCCCACTGCCAGGAGACCACCAGCCCCTCCCTCCACCCCAACAAACCTAGCGCCATTATGGACCATCCACAGATCCAAAACCTACCCGAGAAATAAAAGCAAATGCAACCCCTGACCAAAACAATACATGAAAATTTCAACGTTAAGCAGAGACTCAGAATAAACAAAACTAACCTCACTCTGTCAGTATTGTATGTGAGCGACTCATTTTCTTTCTTCCAGAAGATCTGAGGGTGCGGCACACCTGAAACCCGGCATTCCAGTCGCACAGGATACCCCTCAGCTACACCTGTGTTTTGTAGCTTCTCTACAAATACAGGTGGCTTGTGTGCTTCCTTAGCTATAAAAAAAGAAATAACTTTTCTGTCTCCCTCATTGGAACCAATAAAATATCCCATACATATTTCCCTGCGTTTCCTGTTGGTGTTTCTGAGCAGGAGCAGCACATGACATGTAGTGGCATTGGGAAAGCTTTTGGCATTTGCTGCCTGTCCTTTGGCAGCAACTGAATTGCATCTTAGATTTGGGGAGGGGATATAATCTGGTCAGACTCAAAGTGACTTCACTAGGAGAGTTGTGCAGATTCTTATTTTCCTCCTCCCAAAATCCTAAAATCACAAACTTGAAGTGCTCAGGTGGTTGGGGATTGTGCTCAGTTTATAACTGTGCTTTTAACACACACAGCAACAACAACAGGCCAGTAGATGTTCTTCATCTCTTTAGAAGATGGAACATAGCTGACTTACTCACTTTAATTTTCCACTTGCAAAGGAGCCTTCTAAGAACTACCCTAGCTGCATGGGAGCTATTTATGCATGAGTGAATCCACAGAGATGGGGTACTTGCTAAATAATCCAAACACGTGAGCGTGGAAGGGGCTGATCTCAATGCTATTTCTAGTAGAGGTATGACACGTACACCCTTGAAGGCAGGGTGCTGATCCCATAGCTTACTTTAAACCAGTGATGGCCTAACTTGGCCCTCCAGCTGTTTTTGGACTACAACTCCCAACATCCCTAGCTAACAGGACCAGTGGTCAGGGATGACGGGAATTATAGTCTCAAAACAGCTGGAGGGCCGAGTTTAGCCATCACTGCTATAAACCTACACGTTATTGGCCATTTGTGGTTGGATCTTTCATATCTTTTGCCTGAAAACTGCTAACAGAGAAGGCCAGGATACGATTTAAAGATCCCCAAAGCCAAACACAATTGTCCCTTTCCTACTGTCACTCATTGCTCTGATCTCTGAGTTCAACTATTGTACAGTGAATTCAAATTACCAATTCAAATTTAGGACACAACCCACCAAGCACTGTTCCTAAACAGTCCATATGCATTTTGATAGCACTGTAGGGAATGCAGAGACTGTTCACCCATCTGTAGTCCCCCCCCCCCGTTAATTATATACTTGTGAGCCTTTTATTTGTTATAGGAAAGCTGGTGCAGTGTGTTGTAAAAAAGAGGCATCAGCTGAAAGCCCACGTGTCAAACTCAGACTGTCAGGATTTTCAGGTAGGATTCAATCATCCCAGAAAATTCAGGCTGCTTAAATAAAGCTGGTTTGGAGCTCTTGGGCAACAAACCCATTTTCCCAAAAGATCAGACTTTTCCTGATAAAGTGACTGCAAAATGCACTGGAAATTGCAGGATAATGATACAACATGGTCTGATCTCCCCAAAGACAGATCAGAGTGAATGCTCATTAAATAGCAGATGTCATCTAACCTCTCCACAAACAAATGCAACTAAATGCTCATTAAACAATAGTCTAAGAGTGACCAGAGTGGCCTTAAGAAAGCCATCCCCTCTCAAAACCACTATTTCATGGCAGCCACATATCCCCCATCTCCCCAAATGTGAGCTTGTTAATTCCCACCCCACCGCTGAGAAAGTCTCTTTGGGAAAAATATTGATTATGCCCAAATCCTTAAAATCCCCAAAAGGAAGATGATTTATTGCCAAAGAGGCCAAATGCATCTTCAAAAAGAACACAGCAGAAAGCAAACTCTGAATTCCTGGGGAGCTCAGGCATGCCAAAATAAATTAAGTCTTGTACAGCTAGGCAGGAGGCAAGGTGTGGAGATGTTACCTGCAACGATCAGTTCCAAGCTGAAAGTGTTCTGACCAGCTCGATTGGTGGCAACACATGTATAGATGCCAGCATCCCTTGCTGTGACAGGCTCTATGATCAGGGAGTGTACACCATTCTCCCGTACAAGCATTTTGTGGGAGCTGTCTGAACGTATAACTCTTCCATTGACTTGCCAGCTGATATCTGGTGTTGGTAAGCCACTGACCTTAAAATGGAACACAGAAGAAACCTCAGCGGGACAATAGCATGGAGAGACAATAGAAAAAATACAAGCATTTGTTTCATGAGTATCCAGTGTGAAGGCCCAGAGCCACTCCCAAGGGGGGGGGACCCCTCCTGTTTACATACATTTCCTCTTGTTTTTATTTCTCCCTAACCTTCAAGGCCATAAATAGATCAAAACCCATCACCAGTTTTTTGGGGGGGAGGGTATGGGAGGATTTCCAAGCACCTCCTGCCTTCAGTGGCAAAGTGTATTTCTAATATACATTCCATAATAGCATTAGGTATCATGACACACAGAATGAAACACTTTCACACGTGATCAGTCAACTCCTTACACTTTTGCCCTTGATTACCAAGAGGAGCAATCCTTTCAACATCCCTTTCTCTCCATAACAGCTGCATGGAGCCAAGTATTGAGAAAAGCAAAGGAAAGGAGGAATGTGTCGGGAAATTTATCACTGAACTTCAAATTCCATTTCAGCTATACATTCATCACTTCTTATACTACATATTCAGAATGCTTTGAACAAACCACAGCTTGTTGAAAGATGTGCATCATTAATAATACTTACTGCTTATAAAATGTTGTTTTAGCAACAATGTCATGAAAAGCTCAGGGAGGCTTCCAAAGCAGACAAGTAAAATTCTGGATTGCTTAGTTCTATTACGCAAAGCGCCTGAGCACCTTTCAAATGCGATCATTTTCAAATTGTACCTCTGTACAAGAAAACTTAAGTGGGATAAAACAGGAGTGAGGAATATCTTTTAGCCCAAGGGCCACATTCCCTCATTGGAAATCTTCTGAGGGACTCGTGTCAGTGGTGAGAGGAGTGAGGCAGAAGTGGGCAGAGCGATGGATGCAACTTTTACCTTTGCACAGAAAACAACATTACAGCAGCAAGACATAAATCAGACTGCCTGGACACCCATCTTTCTACCTAGGCAAGCAAGAGGCATCTCATTTCAAGGACATATGGAGGAGGGGGTGGAGTAAGGCCAATGAAAGATGTATCTTGGGGAAGAGGCGAAGCCAAGGGAAAGTCCTAAAGACTAGATAGAAAGCTTAGAGGGAAGCTGCCCAGAGTGGCTGGGGCAACCCAGTCAGATGGACCGGGTACAAATAAAATAATATATTAGAGGGCCACATTTGGATCCCATGGCTTGAGGCTCCTCATCTCTTGAGTTCAAAGGAGGAATGAAAACTGAATGTTACAGACTAATATGCATTATATTTTCCTCTCTGTGCAGATGTATCTCAATTCAGAACTTCAATATTGGTTCAGGTATCGACCAGGAGAATTATGGCCTTCACCTGGGCATGTGAGTGAAGCAATCTAATAGTTGTGCTGATATAATGCAAAACACGGTAGTATGACAGCTTTGCAAGCAGACATTTGTACATTTCACAAGGAGGCATCAGAATGGGGCATCCAACTACATCTGGCCATTTATTTACTTAGGTTTTAAGCTTGCCCACTCCAAATACGGTAGGATAAATTCATAAATCACATTCCTTCCCAACCAGATGCAAAATTCTCATATTTCATTTCACAGGTCAAGTAATATAAAGGGTGAAAATCTGGTGGCATCTGTTTGATAGGCTAGCTAGAAATAGGAGCACAAGTGTGGATTACTTTTGGTGTGCTCCTGGAATATTTCTGTCCTTCCTGCTCGCTTTGTTACAACAATGCATGTCTACTCTTCAGCTAGTCTTACTTCCTGGTAAGTGCATAAAAGGTACAGGATTGCAGCCTTGGGCTCTATTTTGGAAACCCATGCATTCAAAGCCACTAGAGGGAGCACATATTTTATCTATAAATCCATTACCAGAGCGGTGCTTACTGTTAACTTTTACAATGTCATTTTTCATGTGATAACATTTCATAAAACATTATGAATCTCTGCCTTAATAAATTTCAGTATCTGCTGGAGAAAGAAATAAAACTGCCTTTAAAAAGCTGAACTGGAACCCAGCCTATGCAGTTACGAAGTGGTCTGATCAGGAATCCAACTACAACACAAGTTTACAGGAGTCAACTCTCCACAAGTGGAATATGCCTATTAGGCTCACCATTTCGACCAACCCCATGTATTTGACAAAAAAGAAGAAGAAGTACATGATGATCGTAAAATCCAGTTGAATATGACCTATAGATGTTTTTAAAAAAATTAAAAATGTACCTTGCAGTCCATTCTGCAAAGTTTTCCTTCTTGAACTATCAGATCTCCCGGGGCCTGCAGGAAATGAGGTCGGAAGAAACGCTCCTGGATTGGTTCATTTTCATCTCCACTATCCCTTGATCGAGATCGAGGTCTGCAAAAATATATATAGATAGAACGCATTCATTTTCGTTCCCAGGCTCTGCCCTAACCATTTACATAGCCTTAGGTTAATAGATTTTTCATTATTCCCAAACCCTCAACAATGCACATACTTTTAAAATAAAAGTAAATATGACCAAAATGATGGACTAGATTCCACACATATGTTCCCTCACCTGTGACCATCAACACCCCTCCCCTAAACTTTCATTAATTTCAAAGTAGACTTTGAATTGGACTAAGATGAGAGGAATTTTTCTTATGTACCCTAAGCAAATTCTTGGCTTTCAGGGGGAAGAGAAGGCTCTCTACCACAATACTGGTCAATAAAATGAGTGAGATGCAAGGGAGCAAAAGGCAACCTCTGCATGCCTACTAGAACATAAATTCAAATTGCTCCCTATTTATGAGTCACATAAGGTTTGCTCTGTTACGCACACATCCAAAACTGAGTGCTGACAGAAGCTCGAAAATATATGAAGTGCCAGATGTTAGCAACACCATCATGTTTCAATTAATTTTGGATATATTACACAGACCCATACAAGAAAATCAATAAGAGACTGGAATTGTGCATTTAAATCAATCTCTCACTAGTGGACCAAATAGCTTGAAAACACACACACCACATACCTAAATTGGACATTATGCTGCTAAATTTATCATGTGTAATTTATTTTACTGGGAGAGATTCAAGGACACGTTTAATCATTTTCTGACAAAGGGTGTAGCTCAAATGTTTTCTTATATTTGGCTGGATCACTACTTTTAGGTTTTCTTGATTTTTCCTGTTGCCTTTCTCTTATCATACACTTCTACATTTTTCTTCATCTTTGCAATGTTTGAAAACATGGAAGTGTGCATGCACACTCTTAACTAGTTTCTGCAGAACACACACAGCAGTGGCAAAGAATTTAAAGGAAACCAGATCTCAGTTCCTTACAACAAACTTCCAGACAACTCCACCATTTTTTTTTACTTTGCATTCCCCCAGCAACAAAGCTTTTTCTTGTGAACATCAGGACAAGGCTGCTAATTGCTGCTTAAAGTTGTCCTGATGTAGCAACTGAGTTCCACCAGGGTTTTCCTGGGTCCACATGCATATTGTATAGGGATTGTGCATCTTTGCTTCTAATTTTGTATGTTTATCATAGCAAACACCAGTGAAACCAAGGGACTGCATAAAGCCTGGAGCAACCTCTAACATACATTGCTTTGGCTTAGTGTGATGTGTAGACCAGGCCAATGCCATGCTAAGCGATTACACAAACTGGCAGAGAGGAAATTGCAGTCGCTCTGCTCCCCTGATTGTTCTGTTGCTGTGCTGCACTGCGCCAAGCCATTGTTTAGCTTAGCATGTCATCCAGACCTAGGCATGTGGTTTAGTGCTTCCGGGTAAACAAAGAGCTGTAAACCATGAGACAAAGTTTTGTTACAGCTAGTGTTCAGTCTTGAGAGAGAGACAAACTAGGAACTCCGTTTTGGATGACATGCTAAGCCGAACTTGGACTTAGTGCGGTGCAGCAGCAAAATAAATGGGGAAGAGTCAAGCGGCTGGGATCTCTTACCCAGAAGCCTGTGTTTTTGGGGCTTGACGACATTATGTGGGAATCAGGTCTCTGCAAAATGGACCCAATAGTGGTGGTTGTTTTTAAATGTGTTGATAAGGAATTTAACCTTCAGTCATTAAATGGCTTTGGACCCAAGTATTTTAAGCAGTGATTTCTCTTGCATACAAATCTGCCGGGAAACTAAGGTATACTTTCTGAGGTACAGCAGTTGACTACAGAGAAAAGGCCTTTTTAGTAGTGGCACCCAAACCATGGAACCCTAGCCCGAGACATGCACCTAGGGTGTTCTGCAAATTTCACTTTCAGTCTCCATTTCATATATTTAACATTTTAACTATTTTACCAAACAGTTCAGCGGTACCTAGAATCAGGATCAGGTTGAACATTTTAGGCATCTAATACAGAATTTCCTATGACGAACTGTTAACTGTGTCAAGAATGTTGGGAATCAAGGCAAGCATTACCAGAAATAAACATGGAAGTATTTATTTCTGTATTGGAACCCAAAAGGACTCATGTTAGAACTCTTGGGAAAGATGTGCATATGCCTTTGGTACCTTCTGACATGCGGCTGACTAGGAGGTGTCCGGGGACTACGTCCTCTCTGGTTGACAGCTTGGACCATCAGCCTTCCTGTACAGCTTACCCTGCCCTATCAAGCAATAGAAGAAAAATACAGATGTTATACATTTGAAAACAACAACAACAACAATTATGCTGTCAATATTAATCAACACTGAAGACTACACCAAGTGTTATGCAGTTGTACCAAATGCTTCCACTGGAGAGAATCCTGTATTTCCCACAGCTGGTGAAAGAGAGCAGAGAGCTAGATGCCACCAAGGACATTATAGAAGAGCAGAGGATGCCACGGGGGAATCTACAGAAGGACAAGAGAACCCAAGGACTCTATAGAATAAAGGCACAGAGAATGTGCAGCAATGTCTACAGCAATCACCAATGGCAGCTCCAAGCTCTGTCTGGCTGTTGGGCAGGATTGCCCCAGGCGAATCCTTCCTCTTCACCATCACAGCTGCTATTCACTTACTTTTCTTTTCCGTCTCGGCCCAATCTATGTTGTCACTCAGCTGTTGTTATTCTGTGAGTAAATTACTACTGCTATTGCACTGAAAAAATTGTGTTTGCATATGGGACGTTGTTACATTCTGGGGAAAACCAGGCATGGCGAGTTAATAGGTAACTTATAACAAAGTAACACATTAAGCCACACACCCCTGGGATTTCAAAGTCACACCAAAAGCATACAAAACCAGCTGTACAAACACAGAAAGAGCCTGTAGCCAGTCAGCTATTGTTTGCTTGTACAAATATCTCTCCCCCCCCCACCCCAAAATAAAAAATCTAAGAGGTAGAACCAGAAAGCTGAATGGAAAGAGCAATAAATATTTCTGGCATGTATTCTTATGTGCTTGGACAACAAGGAATTTGTTTTCCAAAGTATGAGGAAGGCTGTGACAATTACACCACTTCTCCTTCTCCTTCTCCTTCTGATACTTAACATTTTAAGAGCACCTTTGAGTGTTAAAAGGACTTCATATACAGTGGTACCTCAGGTTAAGTACTTAATTCGTTCTGGAGGTCCGTTCTTAACCTGAAGCACCACTTTAGCTAATGGGGCCTCCTGCTGCTGCCACGCCGCCAGAGCACGATTTCTGTTCTTATCCTGAAGCAAAGTTCTTAACCTGAAGCCCTATTTCTGGGTTAGCAGAGTCTGTAACCTGAAGCGTATGTAACCTGAGGTACCACTGTACATTAGTTTTATTTTGTACATTTACATTTTATTTTGTACATGACCTGTATGCAACAACAGCAGCAAGGATACTGATAGCTAAACATTGGAAAACTCAAGACTTGCCCACGCTGGAAGAATGGCAGATGCAACTGATAGACTATATGGAACTAGCAGAAATGACTGGCAGAATCCGCGACCTGGGAGAGGAAGCAGTGGAAGAGGATTGGAAGAAATTCAAGGACTACTTACAAAAACATTGTAAATTGTATGAGTGTTAAGATGATGCAAGAGTAAAAATAAACGTGGCATCAGTAAGTTAGTTGATAAGAATCTGAGAATAGGTGAAATTTGAGAAAAAGTTAATTTTTTTGGTTAATATTATGTCTAATGAAGTATTTAAGCCTTTGGAAAATAAATTTAAATTTAGAGACATAATATGGGGAAAAATACAAATAAGAAATTGAAACAAGGTGATAATTTGCTGTATAGAATTTTATAAACCTGGAAAGCAGGAATGGAAGATGTGAGGAAGTTCAAAAGTGATGAATATTAAGAATTTGGACATGATGTTTAAAAAAAATATATATTTTGTACATGACCTGCGTCTTTCTTCCATCATGGAACTCGTGCTGCCGCATCCAGGGCATTCTCCCCTTTTGGCACCGACCAGAATATCTGCTCACCCTCTCCAGGGGTGACATGGCACTTGCAGCCTGGTGACTGACCTATCACCACCTGCCATACCGCTGTGGATCTTGCTTCTGACAAATTCCCCTCTCCCGCCAGCTGCTGGAATTCAAAATCCCTGCTTGAGTGGGAGCCTCTGCTCCTCCCTCCAAGGTGGTGTCCTGTTAAAGGAATCCCAAGGAAGGTGCTTTGGGGCAACAGCATTTGCCCACGCAGCAAGACTGGGGTGTGTGTGTTTGCACCCACTTTATGTATGTTACGGATCAATCCCAGATACGGCCTTGACCCCTGGTATCCCTCCAGGAGGTGCGCTGGAAGTGATGGTGGCTAGCCCAATGCCATGCCAAACTCACCGACATCTGTAATCAATAAAGTTGTGGCTTAATTCCACAAAATGTCAGTGGTTTTGGTTTCACTGAGCTGTCCTGGTGGGGCGAGTTTATGGCATTTGGGCATGCAATCAGACTCACTCAGCTTTCTCAAGGCAGCTGCATCATCTTCCCTCCTCACCGTGCCCTGGGATCAACACCCCTGTAAGGTATGCCTGTATTATTATTCCCCATATTTCTAGGTGAGGAGGCAACTCAGTTACTGTAAGCCACCCAGAGAACTTTTAGGTTATGAGACAGTATACATATGTCTTAAGTTGGTTTTTTTAAAATCCCATTGAAATACAAAGGAGGAAAAACATTTAAAAGAAGGGTACTAAATAAATATAAATACAGCTCCCCAAGTTCGTAGTAAGAGAAAGGATATCTGAATAAAGGGATTTCCAAATTTGTAGCACAGTCTCTTAGCCCTTATCAGTGTGTTCTCTTCCCTAAAA